CGCCTCTGTATCAGCACGGGGTGGCAGCTGGCTCCTTGAGAGCAGGGCTGCAGGCAAGAGCCAGTACACACCAGGAGCCGTCTCAAAAAGCTGGCTCTTTTTGAATTGCTCCGCTCCGGCACCAATAGTGACTGCTCCAGCCCCGCTCCAACTCCGCTCCGTGCTCCGAGTCAAATTAATTTTTAACTAAATAAAAAAGTGCATACTGTAATTTTGAAAACATTTTTATTCAGAGTTTTAAAATAATTTAAATGTCGTCAACAATGATACTAACTAGAATCATTCATAAGTCAATCTGTCAAAAATTATTGCAGCAATCAAGTCGTCTTTCAAGCCTGCCGCAGATCATTTAAAATTAACTTTAAAGCCGAAAACAGTTGCTGTACACTAGCTTGAGTTGTTGGCATGCTCAAAGCAATTCTACAGGTAGCGTGAATGCAGTGTGAGTAGCTGTGAATGGCCTCAAAAACAGTCTTAATTTTTAGCCAACCAGTAGACTCCATCGCCTCTCAATCTTCCGGAAAGTTTCTCTTGAATAATGCTTCATTACAATTAAGAATCGCAGAAACTCTCTGGCGTCTGTCTTGTTTATCCAATTCCTTTTCAAAGTCGTCATCTTCTGTAGAATTGGTGCTTGAATTATCTCCATTTCCCTGTGATGGTTGAAGACATCTCGGATGGACGTTCGAACAAGTTCAGAGTGGAGACAGAAGTTTGAGAACAGCCTGCTATTTCTGAAGGATGTGAACTTTCCAAAACTGCAAATTCGATTGTTTATGACTCCTCTTGTTGTGTTTCGTTTTCTTTAACCGAGTTCAAATGTAGCAATATATTTTGTTTTTCGAGTCGTCGAGCAATATCAAGGAGCCCTTCCTTTGCCTTTGGTATTTCCCTTGAGGTAAGAAGAATCCGATACCTTGAGTCAACATAAACTCCAGCAAGGAAATGAATATTGTCAAAAAGCTTCTCTTCACGTTTCTGCATGGAGAATAGAATTCCTTCTGCAATTTGTCCACCATTTTCTTGCAAGAATTTTGAGTTTTCGCCATTCTTTCATTAAAACTCCCGGGGTTACATTGACAGCTTGAAGATTCACGGTTGTTTGGTTTGGCTTTGCCAAGAGGTCTCACAGGTTCTTCACTTTGTCCCATTCAGCTTTTGTTAACTTGAGTTCTCTTGTTCCAGCAGCAGCCACTTGTTCACAGTAAGATTGAAAAAGGAGAAGCCGATCATTCATCGCAAATGTTGAACCCCAGCGAGTCATGGTATCCAATGATTGAGTTACCCCATGTAGATCAAGCAGAACACTTTGAATACTTGGGGTTCGTAGTTTGACAACGACTTGTTGAATTTTTGCTAGATATTTCTTCACATGTTCTTTCTTCAGTCCATCCCAGATTGCCAACTGAAATGTGAATACCACACCTCATCAGTTGTACTTTTGAGTCATCCTCATGAAGCCATGTTGGAAGTATGAGGCTAGGGTCATTAACCCATTGCGCAGCAGCATCCATGTTGAGTTCGATTTAATCCATTCCTTTAATTCCTTCATCAGGCAAAATAGCTTCAGTTCTGTTCACATCCCTGTTCTCAGAGGTGGAAATGGTTTCATTGTCCTCGCTGAAATTTTTGACAGCACATGTCACGTTTGCTGCATTGTCTACGCAGATGCTCAGCACTTGCATTTCATTGATGCCAAATTTTTCTAAAATAGCTTTTACTTGACTTTTCACGTAGGAAGAATTGATGCCCTTCAGTGTCGATTATGTCCAAGGTTTTTACCACAGCTTTATCTTTTCCTTCTTTGTAGTACTAAGCTTTGATTGCAAGGAAATTTGTTTCCATGGGTTGCTGCATCTATTTTCAGGTAGCACAATTTTTGCTCCAAAACTTTCTTGAGCTCTTCATGACCAGACTCAGCTGTGCTGACAACTAAATGGTGAACCGCATCGTGCTCCATCGAAACACCAAGCTGCCGACCCATTTCACCTGCAATTTTTTGGAATCCTTTGTTCTTTAGCCTGAAGGTAGTGAGCGGTGTTGAACTCAAGCAAACCATTTCCATCATCCCTTAAGGGAAAGTATTGGCATCCATGATAACTGTAACTTTTGAGGACTTCAAATGTGTGTCAAGTTTTGTTTGTTCAATTTTGGGTTTCTTTTCAGATGAAGCTCTGCAAAAAATCTTTTCTCCAGGAGTTTTCAAAGAGCCAGATGAACGTCATTTAGCCGCGTCAGCTTTCTCTTTTGCCTCATCTTCCTGGTCCTTTTTTGTAACCAGAGCTGCATAGTTTTCAGAGGGGTTACGTTTTATATGCCACCAAAGGTTGAAACTTTTTACGGCACTAGCTTCACTTGTCTTGAAGCTGCATGGTTTGAGCTCGCCATTCACTTCCTTTTCCACCTTGCACATTGCCAATTTCTTCTTTGATTTTCCCAAAAGCCCAAATTTGGGCTTTTCAAATTCAAAAGTAAAGATGTTGTTGAGATCCTTTTCTGTAAATCGGCTATCAGTCATGGGGGGCAGATTTGATTTTTTTGTTGAAGCCATGGCCAAATCATCTTTTGCTGCTACCGCATCCAGATGTTTCTTGTGATGATCTTCAAAAAGCAATGAACAAAAGCATTACATTTTTTTATAATTTACCTGCTTGTGATATCTTAACCACTTAAGGTACTTTGAATTTATTTTGGATTTTCTGGACAAAAATAATCACATTTTCTTTTTACACAAAATTATTATTAAAGTATATTTTAACTTGTTTCTTGCAGTTTTAATGAAGTAAGAAGTATTTTTAATATACATAATAATATACATTTTTATTTATAAATTGCAAGTTAGTTTTTCTTATGAAATTTTGCATAAAAATATTCGAAATATTTTCCAAGTTTTTAATTAATATCTCAAAAATGCTTTAATATAGATATAGCAATGAAATTTGGTATGTGCCATAGTGTTAGTACGTGCTGTCGCTGTTCTACAACATTAATTGTTGGGAAGTAACGAGCCTACATGTTACAAGGTTGAAAATAAACACATACTAATCTAACTATCTAACTAATCTACACGAGTACGTACTCGCCTATCCTTGGCACAAAGGTGAGAGCAGTCTGCAGTGTTGCCGGATGTCTAATAATTATCTGATTCTTTAATAAAACATATCTCCAAAAAACTTTGTAATTTTGTATCTGTACGTTAAATCTTGATTTTGGCCGAAGTGAGAATAGCTGACATATTACATAAAGTGGTAAAGTAGTTGTTAATATCAGTTGTTATCCAATTTGAAACTTTTTGGCACCTTTAGGACTTTCTTGCTAAAAAAATCATTCATTTTGGATTGAAAATGAGGGGGAAAAAAACTGGAGCAGTGGAGCAGTCAAGATTTTCTGTGCTCTGGCTTCGCTTCAGCTCCGGGCAAAAACCTGCAGCTCCACTGCTCTGCACTCCAGCTCTGGGCTCCGCTCCAAAGCCCTGCTCTGGTGTGCGTTGGCTTCCCTGAGAGTGCCCCCGGGAGCCAGCTCCCCACACACACTGGTTACTGGTCTTGCTCCCACAGAGCCGGCTGCTCTGTAGACTCTGCAGCAGAAGCTTTATACTGCTGAGCCCGCAGCATGTAACTGCTAAGATTTTCAGTGATTACACGGTTACCTAACTGCTTTTTAACATCCCCAGTATCAAATGCTTTACTGAAGTCCAGATAGATTAGATCAGGCCTGGGCAAAATACAGCCCGTGGACTGGATCCAAGCCACCAGCCCCAACCAGGTTCTCCTGCTTGCCCTACACACTGCTCAGAGATGCATCTGTGGGGCGCTTTCTCTTTGAGTCTGGAGGGGAGGAGGGAAGTTTCAGTCACTGCTCCCACCCCCAGCACGATCCCATTGGCTGGTTTTTGGTTTCTGGGCAGACAATGGCCAATGGGAGCTGCCTGTTTGAATAACGGCCAGCCACAAAGCACAACCCTACTGCTTGCTCATTCGAGCACATGGCCGAGCAGGCAGAAACATTTTAAGCTCTGCAGGCAAGCAGGCTGGTAAGGCTCCTTGCGAGAAACCTGCCTCTAGCACCTCAGCCCCTCCCTTCCCCAACCCTCTACCCCACGCTCCTGCCCTGCTACTCCACATGCACCTATGCCTCCTTCTAGGTCTGGCACCCCAGTCTCCTGCCCGAGATCACAATCCCCTCCTATCCTAGGTCACATCCCAAAATCCTGCACCCCAGTTCCCTACTTGAGGTCACAACTACCCCCTTCACCCAAACTCCCTCCCAGACTCCATTCTCCCTCCTGCATCCCAATCCTTTACCCCATGCTCCCTTCTGCATCCAACCTCCACCTCTGACCCTGCACCTCCTCCATTAATACCACAGAAGAGTGCGGCCCTCAACCACTTTCCAAAATCTTGGGAGTAGCCCCCATAAAAAATTATTGCCCACCCCTGGATTAGATCTGCTTCATTTTTGTCTACAAAAATCAGGTCTTATCCAAGAAAGATATCAATTTAGTTTGACATGAATCTACCTTTGGAAAATCCAAGTTGCATATCATCCCATTTTCCATTTATGTCCAGGTATGAACTCATTCTTTCACTTAGCTGCTTGTTGCAATCAAAGGCAATAGCTTAGCAAGCTTTGAAGATGTTATCAAGGGGTTTTCCCTAATTTTTTTTAATGATTCTCCTGCTCCGCTCACTCAATAAGTTCACCCAAGAAATAATTTGTGAACCCTTTTGTTACTATATCAGGTCTGTAGATACTCATGGTGTCTTCCCACTCCTTTAATCATAACAATTGTCACCCTCTTATATTAATATCTGTGCATGTGAAAAGGAAAGTGACTTTGAGTTTTGATCTTTAAAACTTGAGGCAAGATAAAATATTTACATGTGTATCAATGCCTCAATTAGTGCTTCACTTATCTCACCAAATGGATATAGCATCCTGAGCTGGGAGCAGGATAATAGCTCTAAGATTAACATAGTTTTTTATTTCTTATTTTCCAGGTTTGCTTTAAGTCAGACCTCCTAGCTTGATACAAATAAAACAGACAAAGGTAAGTAGAATGCCAGCTTATAAACATGGGATGTGGCAGATCTTTTCATCTGTTAATACTATTTATAAATAACTAGTAACACTGGTTTACAGAAATTGGAATGAAGTAGAGTGAATATTTACTTGTTTGTAATACTTTATATTTTCTCTTCCTGATATCTAAAAATGAAATTCTTATGCTGTTTTTTTATTTGTGTTTGTGTGCGTGTAACATTATGATGACAAATCTGTCTACAAAGATCCATCACCAAGAAAGTAACTTGCACTTCTGCTAGCTGCAGAAAGCCCAAAACAGTTCTGCAAATTGAACCACATGATTATGAAAGGCTGAAAATTGTAGTTTTCTGTGCCACTGAAGTATTATTTAGATTTGTATTTCAGATTTAATTCAGTTCATAGCTATCTTAACTGTTATGTACAATATGTGAATGGCCACAAGAATGTTTAACATTTTACAACATGGAGTGCCAGAGGATATGACGTTTATCTATATTCTTTGGCTTTGCTGTCCTCAGGAACTGTATCAGATGGCATGAGATTGACTGACAAGCTAGTAAAGACATTATTACTATAAAACATTGATATTCTTCAGAGTATTACATGGGCATTCTCAGACAACTGCAAAATATATATTCTCTAGGAGATTTTTTTTTTCACTGCAGCATTGCCAAAAAGGAACAATTCACAATGTTTTCAGATCAAGGAAATTCTAACTGAAACTGAATTCTAGTCTTCTCTTTATTGCTTGACATTCTGTTTGTGGAGGACTTCCAACTGTTTCTGCAGTCAGAAAACCTCTGTTTTTCTTCTATTTCCTATTAAAGTGTGTTAAGCAAATTTAACATTGAAGAACAAATAATTCATGTAGTCAGATTTTTTTAAATGTCTTTTGGTTATCACTGGGCATTCCTTTCTACATTTTTAGCTGTTCAGGAGTTTGCAGTCAAAGGTGTTCTCACTAGCATTAATTTCTTGCTTGAGTGCTGCTTTGGCTTTTGAAACTGACTGATAGCCTGATATGAATTAAAGGACTAAACAAGTGAGTCTAAGGCAGTGGAGTTGAGCAGTAGGAGTTTGGGCAAGACTTGTGTTAGATAAGCTTTTTTTTACCAAGGGCATGACCAGGACCATTTGTTTTTTGAAACAGGCTGGAATGAAATGCTGCTTCAGAGTGAACCTGATCTGGCTATGCAGCAAGTGGGAAATCTCATGGTAAAATGCAGCATACAAGCAGGTTGACTCTTTTTTTTTTTTTTTTAACTGAAGATTACTGCTGGGCCAAACAAGAGTCAAGTCTCTGCAGATGAGATTACATGTCAAGACATAACTAATCAAAAGCTGTCTATAGGAGCATCCATCTGAATTAAATCATGTTACAAGATTGCTAAATTCTATCCCTCCATGCAAATTAGAACCCATTTTATTTGGTCTCACGCCGCTTCTGTGACTTCTCCAAACAGCATCCCTATTTCAGAAATGTGTATGGTGGTTGTGTGGGTATCAGTCCACACATTTACTAGAACTGCTTCTTAGCTGAGACCTCAGGATCACATGTCCACATTGGTAGAGCTATCTGACGATCCTTTTTGAAATAAGACTCCTAGCACCCAACTGTAACTGAGATCACTACTTTAACAGAAATGGATCCATATGAACAGTCACTCAAAGATGAAAGAATGTTTTATTGCATTCAGTAACTGTGGTTCTGTGAGATTATTATTAATTTGTGTTACCATAGTATTCAGAAGCCCCATTCACAGACCCAGATTCCATTGTTCTAGGTTTTGTATAAGCACTGAACAAATAGCTTCTATAGTTACTATCGAGGCAATAAGACAGTAAACAGATATAGATGGAATTAAAAGGAAACAATGAAACAATATTGGTCAGTGTGATAGAGTTTTCAGCATACTGGCAGTTTAAGTATTGTCAAGTATTTTGTATGTCTTGTGACAAAAGCAGGTATTTGAAGGAGGATAATGACATTTACAGAGAGCTCTTTCCCAAGTGTGAAGTGGTGGTTGTTGTGATGAGTAAGATAGTGGGCAGTTTAGGGGTAGGCTGTAAAAGGTCTAGAAAGCAAAGAAAAGTAGCTAATGTTTGATGCAAAAGAAAAAGGGAGAAATCAGTGGAAGGATTCAAAGAGGGGGTGACATGACCAAAGTAATGGGCTTAGAGAATGATCTTTGCAGTAGCACTCTGAATGGATCAGAGTAGGGTAAAACTGTACTTTTCAAGGCCTCAGAAAACATGTAATAATTGAGATGACAAGAGACTGAGCAATCGTTCTAGCTGTTTGGATGGGCGCAAAAGGCTATATCTTACAGATGTTATGCAGAAAGAATTTCCAATATTTAGACACAGCCTGGATGTGAGGACTTGGAGAGAGGCCTCCGTTGAAGATGATACCCACATTATGGGGCTGAGTGGCAGGCAGGAAGGTGCTGTTGTCCACAGTGACAAAGACAGAACGGTGACAAATCATTTTAGCCATGTTTAGTTAGGACTGATGGCTAGCCATCCATGGGGAGATATCAGAGATAGGGCCTGGGGTTTTAGTTTGGGTGGAAGGAGACAGGTCTGCAAAAGGTAGATTCATGAAACCTCATAATAGAGTTGAATTTGTGTTTGTAGGCAATTATTCAGAAAGGCGGGGCAGGAGAAGAAAAGGCATGGAAGCTGTTGGGTGTGCTGAAAGAGAATAGATGATTGTTAGGGAGGGAGAATTCAGCAACAGAGAGACCACTGCCTGGAGGCATGACAAGTAAGTGGTCCTTTTGGTGAAAGGAAGAGTAAATTAGGGCTGCAGGCCAAATGAAGAGGTCAGAATAAAGACGTGAGTAGGTCCCAGTGGGATGTGTTGTCAATACAGAAGTTGGAGTCACTATATATGAATGTGGGAGTCTGAGAGGAAAAGAAGAGAGAGCTAGGAGTTGAAATCAGAGGAGAAGACTGATGTGAAGGAGTTAAATTGATGGCAGCTGGCAGCAACATGAGGGGGAGAGAAGAGGAGACAGATAGTTTTGGTCAAAAGAAGGAAGAAGTTGGAAAGGGATAAAAGTTGCTGAAAATGGCATCAGGATCAGAAGAAGAGAATCCTACCACCCTTACCATGGTCTGAGAGTATGTGAAAGAAGGATGGGCCTCCATATCAGGGCATCTACAGAGGCAGAGGCAGACAAAGGGAATGAGGTCTGAGAGAGCCAGGAGCTAGAACGAGTGACAGAGGAAGAGATCCTGAATGACTCTTCTTTTTAGAAATCACAGCAAGAGGAGGAAGGGGGCAGGTGTGAGGTTGGGGATGGTAATGCAAGACGGGTGGAGATGAGGAGTGGAGGGAAGGTCAGAGTTGGGGCAAATGTCACCAAAGATGATGAGGATTTGTATGAGAGACCTAGATTTGTGCAGGCAGGAGGAGGGGAGCAGGTTGGGGTTGGAGAAGAAAAGAGCAGGGATAGATGTGTAGGCAGTATTGTAGAGGGGTCAACATTAGGGATGTTAACTATTGTTTATTTGTGTAAACGTGTAACTGCTGGAAATTCTAGTGGCTACACATTTACACACAGGGATGGCAGGCAGGAGTCAGTGCTCTGGGGGAGCTGGCTTTTAAGCTGGCTCCCTGCGAGCACCGGCTCCTGCCTTCTCTCCCTCCCCACCTCCGCTGTCTCTTATGAAGAGGCAGCATTGCAGGGGTCAGGTGGCTCCATGAGAGCCAATCCGCCTGGGGAGCTGGCTTGAAACCTCCTTCCCATGTGTACTAGCTCCTGCCAGCCCCACTAACCCTCCACACTGCTGTGTATCTATCAGCACAGGTGGCAGGGTGGGAGAGAGAGGCAGTTCTGCAGGAACTGGTGTTCGTGGGTAACTGGCTTTTAAGCTGACTCCCCAGCAGCTTTTAATTTGGCTCCCTGCACATGCCGGCTCTCTGAAGAGCTGCCTGCTTCCCCCCCACCTCCCATAGAGGCAGCAGCGTGGGGGGGACAGTTGGAAGGGGACAGGTGGGCTCTTCACACATCAACCCCTCCCCCAGGAGTGGTATGCACATGCTGCATTATACAGGATATATAGTAGCCCCAGCTCTTTGTTGCATATGCTGAGAGAATGAAGGGGCTCCCAACAGCCACTCAGAGGATCTCCAACTGGCTAACCGCATGCTTGTGGATGTGCTACCAGTTGGTGTGTGCCCAGCCATCCCTGCTTGTCGGAGTACATTCAGTTCTCACAAGCCACCTCCTGCAGCCTTCCTTGCCAGTGTTCCTGTCCAGGAGATTTTCAAGGCTGTAACATAGTTCTTATGCACTATGCCCTTACGCAACAAATCTGAGAGGATGATTCTACCGGATGAGCTGTATTGAAGTCAGCATGTGCTTAAACTCCTCTTACCAATCAGAGTGCTCCCAGCATCTCTTCCTTCTTGCTGGAAAACTTCAATTGTGGGGAAAGAGGGCAGGATGTTGAATGGACACGAGCAACACATCCTGAAGAACAGCAGTTACGGAAACAGGTCTTTTCTTCGAGTGCTTGCTCATATCCATTCAACATAGGTGACCGGAAGCACCCTCCTCCCTCTGATGGTAGGAGGAGTTTAAGCACTTGCTTCAGGCGCATGGCTGAGGGGGCACAGAAAAAATAGCTACTACACTGTCTTCGCTTATGCCTTGCGTCACGTCAGTCCCCCTGCCCACGCCAAGGATGGTCTTGCCTCAGGCACCAAATCAGTTAGTTACAACTCTGAGAAAACAATGAGAAAAGACTGGGATTGAGCGTGGGGATTGAGTTATACAGCTGGGGAGGGCAGAGAAAAAAGTGAAGATCAACTGTTTCCAATCACTCCTTGGAAGCAAGGACTGTCTTTTAGTATCTGTTTGTATAGCACCTAGCAAGATGGGACCAGGCAGGAATTACTGCAATATAAGTGTTAAATAAACAAAAATAATTCAAGAAGCTACTAGATAATGGTGTCAGGAAAAAATATGCACAATAGGGTTGTACTTGCCACATCCACATTTCCAGCATTCCTTCTTTGCTTCAATAACTGTCCACACTGGTGTGGGAGGAGTGGTATGTCAGGCGGGAGGGTGCTGTTGTCCACAGTGACAAAGACAGAACGGTGACAAATCATTTTAGCCATGTTTAGTTAGGACTGATGGCTAGCCATCCATGGGGAGATATCAGAGATAGGGCCTGGGGTTTTAGTTTGGGTGGAAGGAGACAGGTCTGCAAAAGGTAGATTCATGAAACCTCATAATAGAGTTGAATTTGTGTTTGTAGGCAATTATTCAGAAAGGCGGGGCAGGAGAAGAAAAGGCATGGAAGCTGTTGGGTGTGCTGAAAGAGAATAGATGATTGTTAGGGAGGGAGAATTCAGCAACAGAGAGACCACTGCCTGGAGGCATGACAAGTAAGTGGTCCTTTTGGTGAAAGGAAGAGTAAATTAGGGCTGCAGGCCAAATGAAGAGGTCAGAATAAAGACGTGAGTAGGTCCCAGTGGGATGTGTTGTCAATACAGAAGTTGGAGTCACTATATATGAATGTGGGAGTCTGAGAGGAAAAGAAGAGAGAGCTAGGAGTTGAAATCAGAGGAGAAGACTGATGTGAAGGAGTTAAATTGATGGCAGCTGGCAGCAACATGAGGGGGAGAGAAGAGGAGACAGATAGTTTTGGTCAAAAGAAGGAAGAAGTTGGAAAGGGATAAAAGTTGCTGAAAATGGCATCAGGATCAGAAGAAGAGAATCCTACCACCCTTACCATGGTCTGAGAGTATGTGAAAGAAGGATGGGCCTCCATATCAGGGCATCTACAGAGGCAGAGGCAGACAAAGGGAATGAGGTCTGAGAGAGCCAGGAGCTAGAACGAGTGACAGAGGAAGAGATCCTGAATGACTCTTCTTTTTAGAAATCACAGCAAGAGGAGGAAGGGGGCAGGTGTGAGGTTGGGGATGGTAATGCAAGACGGGTGGAGATGAGGAGTGGAGGGAAGGTCAGAGTTGGGGCAAATGTCACCAAAGATGATGAGGATTTGTATGAGAGACCTAGATTTGTGCAGGCAGGAGGAGGGGAGCAGGTTGGGGTTGGAGAAGAAAAGAGCAGGGATAGATGTGTAGGCAGTATTGTAGAGGGGTCAACATTAGGGATGTTAACTATTGTTTATTTGTGTAAACGTGTAACTGCTGGAAATTCTAGTGGCTACACATTTACACACAGGGATGGCAGGCAGGAGCCTGCGAGCACCGGCTCCTGCCTTCTCTCCCTCCCCACCTCCGCTGTCTCTTATGAAGAGGCAGCATTGCAGGGGTCAGGTGGCTCCATGAGAGCCAATCCGCCTGGGGAGCTGGCTTGAAACCTCCTTCCCATGTGTACTAGCTCCTGCCAGCCCCACTAACCCTCCACACTGCTGTGTATCTATCAGCACAGGTGGCAGGGTGGGAGAGAGAGGCAGTTCTGCAGGAACTGGTGTTCGTGGGTAACTGGCTTTTAAGCTGACTCCCCAGCAGCTTTTAATTTGGCTCCCTGCACATGCCGGCTCTCTGAAGAGCTGCCTGCTTCCCCCCCACCTCCCATAGAGGCAGCAGCGTGGGGGGGACAGTTGGACTGCTGTGTATCTATCAGCACAGGTGGCAGGGTGGGAGAGAGAGGCAGTTCTGCAGGAACTGGTGTTCGTGGGTAACTGGCTTTTAAGCTGACTCCCCAGCAGCTTTTAATTTGGCTCCCTGCACATGCCGGCTCTCTGAAGAGCTGCCTGCTTCCCCCCCACCTCCCATAGAGGCAGCAGCGTGGGGGGGACAGTTGGAAGGGGACAGGTGGGCTCAAATCAACCCCTCCCCCCCCCCCGCACTTCTGCATCTCTGGAAGGCAGAAGGGGGGGCAGGTGGCTCTTCAGGATCCGGCTTGAAAGCTGGCTCCCCATGGGCACCAGCTCCCACTCCACCCCCGCCCCATTGTTGCTTCTGTATCAGAGTCACCAAAGGGGGAGTTGCATGCAGTTGATATAATTACATTATAATCATGTAATTGACTACATGCTGACATCCCTGGTTAAGATAACTAGGAAAGGAAGATGGAGCCAGTGGGAGGGGTAGGGAAGAGGCAAGAGGATGAGGATGGGTGATAGCATGGAGAGGAGGGGTGTGATGAGTACCATGGTTTAGTGGCAGATGAATGAGACTGCAAAAATCCCAAAACCAAACACACAAGATCTGAAGGTATGTTCTTGGGACTGACATGGGTCTCTGTGAAGGATCCTTTGCTGTACAGACAGAGCTCCGCAGTCATGCTCCTTATTGGTTATTGTGGGTCAGGGCCAGTTTATGTAGTGGCTCACTGCCTATTGAGTGCCTGTGTCTACATAGAGTTCCACAAACTGTCTACCTTCCCTGCTTTCATGCCTCATAGCCACAGAATTCTGTATCCTTAAAGGAAATGAGAAATAGTTGGGTCATATCTTCCCCACTTCTTTACCCATGCTGCCTCTGGTGAAGAGGCAGCATTGCAGGGAGCAGGTGGCTCCATGGGAGTGAATACTCATGGGGAGCCTTGAAGGAGTTGAGGAGCGACTGTGAGGACATCTGTAAAACTGGTGGGACTCCAGGAGACACGGCTAGTCAAAAAAAAAAAATTGGCTCTTGTGCACATAATTTGTGTGCACCAGAGGTGGAATCAAATATGGATAAGACATCTTAAAGAGCCATTGCTGTTAAAGGTAAGTAACCATTGTTTTCTAGATCTGTCTCTCGGATTTGGCTTACCTAATGCAGTGTATAATTATGACACATAAATTACTTAGTTTGGTATATTTGTCAAATTGCAAGATATATTTACTGGAAAGCAGAGGATGGACTTGGTGAAGAGTTTTTGTTCTGAAGCTTCAGAGTGGTAGTCAAGTTAATCTGTAACATGAAAAACTGAAAACTAGAAATAGTCTTTAAGGTGATACTAGACTAACAAAACATGTAGATGGTACCATGAGCATTTGTGGGCTAACCTCACAACTTCAGATAACCAGAGTATAATAAGCCCATATCCAAGAATAAATAAGGGGAGGGGGAGGGGGAGAAGGAAAAAGGGGAGGCGAGGAAGAAAAAGGGAAACATTGAGTAGATAGTTCAAATAGTTACAAGAGGCTGTTAAGAATCATTAGCACCTCCATTGTTTGTTTGGTTGGTTAAGTCATTAAAAAGTGGAAGTGTTGGAGCCATTCTATATCCCAGTTCAGACCATTTGCATAAGAATTAAACTTGTGAATGAAGTTAAGTTCCAATCCTTCTCTGTGTATTTGGCTTGTGGAATTTGTCTGAAACAAAACGGTGACTTGGAAATCCATGAATGAAAGTCCAGGAAGATTAAAGTGTTCTCCAACAGGTTTTTCTGTATTGCCTTGTCAGATATCTGGTTTGTGCCCATTAATTCTTTCCTGTTGAGATTGTCCAGTTTGGCCAGTACACATTGCAGTGGAGCATTGCTGGCATTTGATGGCATAGATCACATTAGTGGATGTGCAGTTAAATGAGCCTTTGATTGGAGAGAAGGCTTGGAACTCAACCTCATTCACAAGTTTAATTCTTATGCAAATGCTCTGAACCGGGATATAGGATGGCTCATACACTATCTTCCACCTTTTAATGACTTAACCAACCAACTAACCAACCAATGGAGGTGCTAATGGTTCTTAACAGCCTCTTATAACTATTTGAACTATCTACTCACTGTCTTTCCTTTTTCCTCCTCACCTCCCCTTTTTCCTTCCTTACTCCCCTCTCCCCCTCCCCCTTATTTATTTTTGGATCTGGGCTGCTTATACTCCAGTCATCTGAGGAAGTGGGTTTTGCCCACGAAAGCTCATGATACCATCAACATGTTTTGTTAGTCTTTAATGTGCTACTAGACTATTTCTTGTTTTTTCAGTTTTTGTTCTGCGCATTCATGTATCCTAAAGTCGTGATCGTTGTAATTTGATGTAGAATTCTGAATTTCCAACTTTTCTTTTACTTGAACAGTAAAAAAAACTTTAAGTGTGTTTTTGTTTCCTCTGGAAGATTCCAACTAGATTGTGTGTGTGTGTGTGTGTGTGTGTGTGTGTGTGTGTGTGTGTGTGTGTGAGAGTGAGAGTGAGAGAGAATTTAAATAGTTTTACAAATAAACTGATTTATGCAGTTAATTTCACATTAGACTAAATATAGTCCAGATGCCTATTGGGCAATGAAAAGAAAAATTAGGTGTTATGTGTTTTGTATCCTATTCCACTTTTACAGCCTGGTATTCTTCTTTTACTGTAATTTGCACATTGGACGTGTGGTAGCTCTCTCTCTTATTCTGGAAAAAAAAATTTGGTTCCTTTCCTGTCATTCAGTATGTTGGCTAATATTCGAAAAGAGAATCCTCTCTCTCCACATCCCAAACAGCCAGATTCTTAGCTCCCAGTCTTTATTTCCTTGGCATGGCCTAGAATTGGCTTTTATTGTTTATAATTTAAAAATACATGTGATCATTGGAGAGCATAGCTATTGAATTAGGAGCATAAGACGCAGGCCCCAGGACAGGTGCAAAGAACTTCCCTAAATGTCAATCACTGACCAGTATAGTAGAGTTGGGTAGAGAAGGGAGGGCTTGCCATTAAAGTTTGAAAGATGCATCAGGAAACTAGAAAGGATAGCCTCTGGTAGTGTGTGAGGAGCCATAGAAGAAAATAAAAGTGCTGATCATTGCCATTTTCCTTTGAAGATTAGAAAGTCTTGCTAATCTAGAGAAGATGGATTTTGGGGAGATAGGGTGGATGGTTTCCTCAGTTATACTTCATTGTGCTTTAAGTTTATAAATTGTACCTACAATATTAAGTTACCTATAAAATATTTAATGGACCACATTACTAGAGCTGTATTTTTTCATTTTGAAAAATCTGTTTTCAAAGAGCAAAATGGCATAACTCCAGTATCAACCAAAGAAAGTATCAAGTTACTAGATATGTGTCAATATGAACTGAAGAAAGAATTTTCGTTTGGAGCTTAATGGAACGTCCCTTTGAAAAATCCCAAAAACATGACAAACGTCAGCTAAAGTGAGTTAAAAATTTCTTAAGTTGACTGTAGGGAAGCTGGACTTTAAGTTCATACTGAGGCAACATGCTATGGATGTGGAAATTCTCTGTCTTTATGCTCCTGATTTTCTGTGAATTTCAGAATTTGTACTCTTGTACTAATGCACAAGCTGATGTCAAAGTTTGACAAATCTAAGATGTTTTGGTCAGTAATCAAAATGAACTGATTTCTTCCATTTCCTGACCAACAGGGTTGTGACCTTTAGGCACTATAATATATAAAATAACTTAAATTCTATTTGATTAATTTTTCAGTAAACAAAAAACTCTTAGGAATTTTGAGTATTAATGATTTGCACTGTGAAAACTCAATTTCATACTGCCAATAAAAATCTGTAACCACTGTGAGAATAAGCCTTATGTGTGACTGCCTGTTGATTGCAGCAGCATGATCAAGCAACTTGAAGAGAAATCATGTAATAATAACTACTGAAAAGAACCATAAAACTTTGATGTACAAGTTACAGGAGAGGATGATATATAAACACAATACTTTTAAAACAGTTTCAGTAATGGCTGAGTGCTAGCTTTATATGTAAGCAAGCCCTGCCTGGATTGTTCTAGGAAAATCTTGTTCTTTCTTAGGGTACGTCTAGACTACATGCTTCTGTCGCCAGAGGCATGTAGATTAGGCTACCAGACATAGGAAAATGAAGCGGCGATTTAAATAATCGCCGCTTCATTTAAATTTACATGGCTGCCGCGCGATAGTCTGGACGCGCGGGTGTTGACATCAAAGGTATTTGTCGACCACCCAGGGATGCCTCCTGGGATGAGGTATACCTGAGTGGTCGACAAATACCTTTGATGTCAACACCCGCGCGTCCAGACTATCGCGCGGCAGCCATGTAAATTTAAATGAAGCGGCGATTTAAATAATCGCCGCTTCATTTTCCTATGTCTGGTAGCCTAATCTACATGCCTCCGGCGACAGAGGCATGTAGTCTAGACGTACCCTTAGAGTTGCTAGAGGATTCTAAGCCTTTTTACTATTTAAACTTTGACAATATCCAGGTTGGGCTACACAGATTAGGGATGTGAAGGACTAGTCAACTGTCCAATAAGCAAATGCTTCCCCCCTGCCTTGCTGCTCCTATCAGATGGAGGCAGTGAGAGGGGTGCTTCAAAGTGGCAGTGCTGCACAGAGCCCAGGGTCAGCGCTATGTGGAGCAGGGGATCAGCTGGTGATTCCCCAGCTGACCCCAGACTTTGGCGCTTTTGCCTTTGAAGTATAGTAACAGCCATAGGGGCTGTTGATAAACTTCAGGGGCGGAGGTACCCTATAGATTAATCGAATAGTTGATGCAAAAATGCATTGGCTATTGGATTAGTCAATTACCTGATACTTAACATCCTTAGCACAGATCAGAGGAAGACAGCGTCCGTCCCATTAGCTTAACATGTAAATTCTTACAGAAATCAAAATTCACCAAACTGTTACTGCTGTTCTAAATAGGGTTGTAAAATTCTGGTTAAACGTTAAGCTAACCTAACATTGAACTAATTAAGCAGGATCTGGGTGGGGGACCACTTCAACCTAGCTGGGAGCAGCCCCCTGCCCACAGGGCTGCTGGATGCCAGCCCCTGCCAGAGCAGCCTGTCCACAGTGGCGTGGGTCCACCACAGACAAAGGCTTCTCCGGATGCTGGACTGGTCCGCAGCAGGCCCCCCAGTGAAGCTAAAGCTGCCTGCTGCCCATGGCAATTGGGGAGCTGTGCCAGCCCCTACCAGCTAACAGTTAATTGGAACCGGTTCTTACCAATTTAAACTTTCACATTCCTAGTTCTAAAATTAAATTTACTCTAACCTTTGCAGGATATAACTATTCTATCATATTATTAATTTTCAGTATAAATATAAGAGTTTAAAAAAATGTTTGTTCATGGCTTTGAATACTGGTTAAAAGCTACAGTAAACAATACTGTATTTAAAATTAGTATTAGAAAAAAAGCTTTAGTTGAGACTGAAAGGAAAGTTTAGTTCTGAAACACTTAACAAATCCACTGTGTCTGTGGTAATTGAATAGTTTTAATAGTTTTTCATGCTGGTTTTGGGGGAAAAAAAGTTTTCAGTCCTCTGTTTTGTTGTTGTTGTTGGTTTTTTTGGTCTATTCCAACAAATTGTTGGTTAAAGAATTTGACCACCACTTGGTGGCAGTACTTGGCTTCAAAAGGAAAATGGCTTTAATTCTCTTTAAAATTAGAGAGTATACAGGGAATTGT